CCCCAAAACCCCAAAACCCCAAAACCCCTTTTAAAAATTAAAGTGTAAGTTAATAGTAATATTTTAAGTATGGCTTTCGACGGCGATTTATCCCGCTCTCTTAATATCAGTTCTGTCGATGAAGATATGGAAGATAACCTCTTAGAAATGAAAGATGATCTCATAGATATCCAGGTTATCGACAAAAATGTGAAAGAGAAAGAAGAGCCTCAAGCACTACTTAATAATAAGAGAAAATCAGTATGTGGTCAAAGAAGACCATTATGTAAAAATTCGGCTCCTTATGTTGACAAGAAAAAGTACCTTATATCTTCTCAAAGCTCGTTCAAAACTAAAGAAAGTAAGAAATTTCCTACCGAAGCTTTGCGTCAGTCTTCTCTCAAGAACGGTCACCAAGTTTCGGAGATATTGTGTCCAAAGAACATGCAAGAAGTGGTTCAGTCAAAGTGCCATAAAATTTCACTGGGTAAGCTCCATAATTTCTCTATTTCAGAAGTCAAGGCTATAAACCTAATATAAAATCATCCGAAAATCCTTCAAGATTTATGATATACTTCTTTAGAGTTGGCTCTTTTGAATAAAGTGAGTGATAGGACATTTTACAGTCAACACTTGAAAATTATTCATCCCCAGACCGAATTTCATGGAAAATTGGCATAAAATAGTTCCTTAGCCTCTCCTTTATCATTCTGAATCTCTATGAATCCCTTAAAAGTGAACAACTTGCGCATTACTAGTAGATGGTTAGTATTTTATAAAGTAGAATGGAATATATGAATACATTGACCAATACATTTTATAGATATACCAACTGAAAGCTATAAAGTTCTTCAAGACAAAATTGATAACCTTGAGAAAGATAACAAAGAGCTGAGAGAGCAAATAAAAGATAAAGACATACTGATTCAACAACAATCTCGAAGAATACATGAACTCACAGAGGTAAGAGTAGTAGGTGAATAAATATAAAAAAGGCTGAACAAATTTAAGTTATTTCACTAATATTATAGCATTCCCTCCACCTCTTTCTTCAACTAAATACATCCATCCTACTTCTATTAACCAAAAATAGTTCCTCTTACCTCCCTAAACCCCTTTCTCACGCTAAAAATACCCAAACTGTTCAATTCCCTTTGAAATCTAAACTTCCACTTGTTCTCAGTCCATCACTACATTTCCAAAATTAATAAAAACTTAAAGCTTCCTAATCTCACTATTCACTTAGAGTCTTTGAAAATTCCAAAAGTCTCAAGCCACTGAAGCTCTCGAGCAGTTAAACGAGCAGTGAAGTGAGATAAGCCCCAAAATAGACGAGTTCTTCATAGAAGAAGCTAGCGCCAAAAGTCTCAACTTGAATGACCTTGATAAAGAAGTCAAGGAAGTCAAGAAGGAATACTACCGTGAGAGACGAGAGAAGAGGAGAGGACAGCGTAAAAAGATACATCCAGAGGCTGGTCTTAATAAAGCATGCCTTGACACTAAGGAGGAGTATGTCAAGAAGCAGTATACTTCTCAGGATTTACATAAGTTTGCCCTCAATTCTACCATTGGAGTTACTATTTCGAACTGAATTCAGCAACAAAAGTTGGTTATGAGTAAGACTTGATCCTGAATAGTGTAGATTATCCAAAGCAAGTGAAGAAAGATAAGGCTAATACTAATGTAAGACTTCAGACTAGAATACCTATCTTACATATAAATCTAGGCTACCTCTGATGCAGCAGAATTAAAATCTCCAAGGATTCTACAGAAGACTTCTGAGTACAAAAGCACAGCTGAGGGATCCTGATTTGATGACTCTAAGAGAAAAGGTGCTTCCATCATGGATAATTATCTTAACCTAGAGCAGTTCTCAAAAAGGAAGGACTCTTTCTATTGCGGTCAGAATCTAAAGTCACTAGCTCACAGTAAAAATCCTCATACAACAGAAATGAGCATCGGAAGTTCCACAAATAGGCTCAAAAGGAAGATCAATGCTGTAAGTGCCCTTAGCCTCTCCCTGATTGGAGGTTTAATTCAGGAGCACGAAGGAAGAAAGTCCTTAGGTAAAAATAATCCAATTTAACCAACTAAAGAGGGGTTTTGGGGTTTTGGGGTTTTGGGG